TGTCGGGGCGGCGGGGGGGTGGGGGGGGGGGCAGAGTGCACAGCTGTTGGCCAGGATGTTTTGAGATTTTCTTCCTCCTCTGCTGTTTCTCAGCTTCCTGGGCAAGATGGTTCTCTTCAAAGTGAACTATAGCTTGATGTATGGTGCAGCACCATTGAGACTTGTTACCAGCCAGCACTTCCCAGTTTGCAAGGTTGATGCCAACCTTCTTAAGGTATGCTTACAGAAGGCTTGTCCAACATACGGCCTGCAGGCTGCCATGTGGCCCTTCAAGCTGTTTTCTGAGCCCCAAGGTGCTACAACGGGAAATTAAAGTAAACACTGTACTTTCGTTTGGGGGGGGGGGGGGGAGGTGATGTGATACCGCTTCCTGTGAGGTCTTTGAATATGGCTTGCCGGCCCACTGGGTGATAAAAAGTTCATGATCTGGCCCCACATTCAAAAAGGTTGGACACTCCTGGCTTACAGGGTGTCCTTGTAATGCTTCCTCTGTCCCCCACAGATCCTCTTACCATGACTGAGTTGAGAGAAAAGGACTTGCTTCAGGAGACAAGCGTCAGCCATCCACACACAGCAGCCAGCCCAGCAGAGTTTATGTTTCATGATCTTTGTTTGTCTCAGTCCTGTTTACATAGGCTGCGGAGCGGATGCTAACATTCGTGCAGTACTGTGAAGGATCTTCCTGAGGCAACACTGAAGGAACTATTCCAGGTGCTTAAGATGGCTTTGCTATGTCACCTACATCTCACACCTGTAGAGGAGCGTGGGGATAATTACTGCATCGTAGATCAGGATCTTTGCCAACCAAGATCTGCAAATGGAAACTAAGACATGGCAAAGCAGCTTTCCAAAGGATATACTGGCACAGAAAATCCTATGTTTGATTTCTACATCAAGACTGACTGACTGGGAGAGGTGGCTGCCAAGGTATGGGAAGTGCTCAACATTTTTCAGGAGTTCTCCACCAATAGTGATTTGTGGCGTAGGGGGGCAGCTTGTGCTGGGGCAGGCTGATGGAGCACCTTTGGTCATCCCAGTATTAAGGGAGAGTCCCAGGCTATGACTGGCACCTAAAAAAAGGTCAAAGATGGACTGCAGATCGGTCTTAAGTGTGCGTGAGGATAATAGTCATCACCGTACTGAAGGCTGACAATGCCAATCTTGGTAACTTTCATCTTGCTGTGAAGGCACTGCAGGTTGAAAAGCTGACCAACCCCAATTCTGGGAGGAAGGCAGCCACAGATGAGAATCAAAATCACAGCAAGACAGATGGAGAAAATGGCTGGGGTGATGATGCGGCCTTTCTTGACACCAGTATGGATGGTAAATGGGTCTGTCTCTGATCCATTGCAAAGGACTGTAGTGGTTATCCCATCATGGTGTAGCCTGAGGATCCTGATGAACTTCAATGGATAACCAAACCTAGCCAGCACTTTCCATAAGGCTTCACAATTGATGGAGTCAAAGGCCTTGGTTAGATAAATGAATGCTATAAATAGCTTCTGATGCTGTTTTCTACACTTCTCCTGGATCTGTTGTGCAACAAAAATCATGTTGGTGGTACCCCGTGATGGTCTAAAGCCACACTGGAATTCTGGAAGGACATCTTCAGCAACAGGGACATTTCTGGCAATGGGCAATACCTTGGTAGTTCCCACACGCTGACTAGCCCCCTTTCTTGAAGATGGCCACAATGTTGGCATTCTTTGAGTCAGGTGGAGCTTCCTTGTTAACCCATATTTTGATGAGAAGTTGGTGAAGTTTTTGCACTAGTGCTGTTCCACCAGCTTTGAAGACCTCTGCAGGAATGTCATCTGGTCCTGGTGCTTGTTGTTTTTGGTCTGAGTGATGGCACACCAGGCTTCCTTGAAGGATGGGGGATCAGCAAGAGATTCTATTACTGCATGTTGAGGGATGGACTTGATGGTGACAGATGAGACCTCAGGTTCAGAGTTGAGTAGAATCTTGAAGTGCTCCTTCTGGCATTGTTTCATGGATACATTACCTGTGAGAAGGGTAGAGCCATGCTTGGTTTGCCAGGTGTTTGGGCCATTGGAACATGGCTTACGAATGGCTTTTATTGTGTGGAAGAAGCTCCTCATGTCCAGCTAGAGTACAACTATCAATTGTTTACAGATTCTATGCAGCAAGAGCGGCTCATATAAAAGGAACGTAAATTTCAAGTCATTTTCTTAAAAAATGAATGTTAGATTTACTACTTCATTTTTTTTTAATATTCAGTGCAACAATTTATTAAGTCTTTGCATTACCTTTAACAGGATGTGTGTACTAGGATCCCATGAACAAGTTAAAGCCAGATGAAGTCTCAGCGATATGTGCAAAAGGCTTTTTAAATCAAAAACGTATGAAACCAATCAGCCACATGAGAGCAGGAAAATACTTTTTTGGTGGATACAGATAAATGGAATATCAGACGTTTCAGACCCCAAAATATCTTTGATAAAATGTCCACTGGTAATATACGAATAGCACTACTAAAAGTTTAAGGGTGGATTCCCAAGGCAGACTTTCAAAGGCACTTAACTGTGAGATTTCCAAAAGTAGCTTAACACTGCTTCCCCACTTTAGGCCAATGCTTTTAATGAACTATAAACTGTCTTTTTCTAGGTAAGTCAGAAATTTAACTTCCTCATTAGCTTATGCCACTTGGACTTTCAATGATTAAAAGCCATTAATCTATAGAACATAATCAACCTTTCAAAGAAGGTAACAGAGCATTTCACAATGATAACTTTTTCATGTGGTAATGAACACTTCTTACCCACTCACAAGATACTAAGTTCTCTCAAAGATAACATGCTTGATAGTAACAATTTACCATGAGTGTTTGTACCTTTAAGAAAGGTCTCTGAAACTTCATTGTAAAATGACAGCATTGTCAGATCTAACCTTTGAAGACAAACTCCAGACTATACACCTGAATTGCCAAACCAACATTCCAGCTCTTCAATTCTGAATCTATCAAATAACTAGAAATACTTTCAAAATAATTTCTGTGGACATGTACCCAAGTAAAAATAGTGACTTGAAGAAAATGAGTGATTTGTAATAATCTATAATAATGCCTATAATAGCACAAGGCAGTGCCATGCAGACATACCAGAGCTGGCTTATTCTGAGTTAGTTCAGGAAACTCCACTGTGTAAATGTATCTAAAGCACATGCTAAGCAAGCAAGGCTAGTTAATGAAGAGAATGAAGCACTAACAGAGCTATCCTGCTTCTAGTACCCAAGTAAAAACTCCCATCACATTATTACCACTATGCCTTATAGACATATCTTCAGATTGCAGGTGTATATTAGTTCATTCAGAGAAGAGATAATTGAATATATCATAAGAGATTAAAAGAAACAAAGCAACATAATCGTCTCCAGTATCACATTTAGAAGGTTAAACCAACAAGCTAAATAAAATAAGCATGTCACATGGCTAGTGTCCTCATGTGACACCACATACTTTTATAAGTACTGACCTGCTGATAGAATAAAGCAATAGGGTTACTATAGAAAATTAACAGGGTAAAGATTAAGGGTGCACTGATAAAGATTTTCTTGGCCAACACTGATGGCCGATTATTAACAAGCCACATTGGCCGACACCAATTCAATACTCGATTTACAGGAATGCAGTCCAGCACCACAGAGAGCAGCTGGTAAGTCTGTGTGGGGAAGGGGCATTGGGGGAGGAAAGGAGCATGTGGGGGGGGGGGTGTCACAGATTAAGGCCCTGACAGTGAGGGAGGGAATGGGGCAGGGGCAGGGTCTGCCCAGCCAAGGTGATGGATGCGACCCCAGGTCCAGAAACAGGACAGAGCTGCAGGCTGTGGGGTAGGTGGCTCCCTTGCTGCTGCATGCACCCCCTGGGGGAGGCACAGGGGGCATGTGCCCCCCAGATGTGTGTGCAGGGTGAGGGTGGACTGCTGGCTTGGGCCTGCACTGGCCTCTTCCCAACAGTGGGCTGGGCCAGGGCTGCACTGAGAGTGAGTGGGAACAGGGCAGGCGGCGGCGGTGCTAGAAGGGGTGGCTACAGTGAATTTTGGGGTAGCTATAGCCCACCTTGTAGCCACCCCTGCCAGTGCTACCACCACCCACCCTGCCCCTGATCTGCCCCAAGCACAGCTGAGGCCCAGCCTCCAACCGGAAAGAGACCTGTACAGCCCCTGGCCCTGAGCCCGCAGCCTATCTTTGCCTCACACAAATGTGAGGGAGTGGCAGGGAGCTGTCCCCCTCCCTACCCACTGTGGATGAGCCGCCCGTGGGCCCACCCCACTTCTGGCCCTAGGGTTGCATCCACCTCCTTGGCTAGGCAGTATCTGCCCATGTCTGATCCCTCCCTCACTGTGAGGGCCTCAATCCCCCGCCCGCACCCCTGACTTACCGGCAGACTCTGCTCTCCACGCTGCTTGGCTGTATTCCTGGTCATACGCATTCTGCGGCTGTGCATGTGCACACAGCATTTATCGGTGACATTATTGGCTACATTGGCCAAAAAAAGTAGATAGTCAATAATGTTAATTTTCCTTTTATCAGTGCCAATCTGTATGCTACCAATATATCAGTGCACCTCTAGTTAAGATACATCTCACAAAACAAACAAACAATACACTATAAACCTACCTTTGGAAGCTCTTCAATCTGATTAGCATCTAAATAGAGCTCTTCCAAGGTCTTTTCAAAGGTAAAAATCTCCTTAGGCACCTGTTCCAGGCTGCAGTGAGAGTAATCAAGCGTAGTAACAGTTTCTTCTTCCCCACGCAGACAGCGGCATGGCACCAGCCGCACAAACAAGTTCCGCTTTGTCGTCATCTTCAGGCACTGCAAAGGAAAAATAGAGGGGTTTATACATTATAAATTACTTTACCATTTGAAAAACTGCTTAATGAATTCAAGTGTTATTAACCCAACAACTTACATAATGCACTAAAAACAGGAGGGGAAAAAACAATAATTTCGCTAAAAGCATGGAAAGTGTGTTCAGCACAAAGTTGAAATATTTCAAGGGCTGCAGAACACCTACAAGTTCTACTTAAATCCATGGTTACGGTGGGTGATGAGCAATTCTGACAAATCAGGCCCTAGATTTTTATATGATCTTTTTCTCCTTTTTAAAAAAGTTATTAGAAGTTTTGCTTTATATTATGAAGTTTCACTATAAAAAGAGCATTACATTTCAGTTACCAGAAAACATAACATTGGAGTTTGAAAATTTAAATTACTTTTAAAAGCAGAAGGTAGCATGGCAAAACAGCAGTAAAGATCAATTTATAGAAACCATGTTATGACACCATCTCAACAAAAAAATGGAGCTTTTTAGAAATGTTTAAAAGGTACTTAATCACAGAAAGCTCAAGAAAATTCTACATTTCCATCTACAGTCTGCAAAACTTTTATATATAAATACCTGTGAACTTTTGTCATGCTCCCTGAAAAACATTCTATAGTAAAACATGTTATTGGAAAAGAAGGAACCCACTTTTTTGGAAGCACAAAAAGTAGCTGAATTCAATGACCCAACTTAATGGACTTGTAGTTAGGGATGCACTGATAAAGATTTTTTGGGCTGATACTGATGGCCAATTATTAATGAGTCAATACACGAGTATTAACTAGCTGGAGTACTGCATCCAGTTTTGGGCCCCCCACTTCAGGAGGGGCATGGAAAAGCGTGAGAGAGTCCAGAGAATCCACTTATACGATCCAATGCCTGGAGGGCAGGCCATACGAGCAGAGGCTGAGGGATTTGGGACTCTTCAGTCTGGAAAAAAGAAAGCTCAGGGGTGGCTTGGTAGCAGCCTACAGTTATGTAAGTGGGGTACATCAGGACCTGGGAGAACAGCTGTTCACCAGAGCTCCCCAAGGGATAACAAGGTATAAACGACCACAAACTCCAGGAAGGCAGATTTAGACTAGACACAAGGAAAAAGTTCTTTAGGGTGCGCGTGTCCAGGGTCTGGAACAGACTCCCCCCAGAGGTGGTATAAGCACCTATTCCAGCCTCTTTCAAAAAACATCTGGGTATTTTTCTTGCTGGGATCCCAGCAAGACTTCTTGCCTATGGTGGGGAGGCTCGACTCAATATCACAAGGTTTATTCCAGCCCCTAATGTCTATGAAATATTGGTGGATACTAATCCGATTGCTGATATGCAAGCCTGGCAGCTTGGAGAGCAGTGTGCAGCTAATAAGTCTGTTGGGGGGTGGGGAGGGACCAGGAGGAAGGGACAGATAGAGGCCCCTGTGGTGAGGGAAGGAATGGGGCTGAGGCTGGGGCAGGGGCTGCACAGCCAGGGCAGGGCATGGGACAGAGCCGTGAGCAGCTCATTGGGGGCGGAGGTGGAGGGAGCAGCTCCCACTACTGCACGCACACCTGAGGGAGGCATAGGGGGCATGTACTTCCCGGATCTGTGCATGGGGCAAGGGCAGGCTGCCACTGCAAGCTGGGGCCAGGTTAGTGCCAGGCTCTTCCCAGCAGGGGGATTGGGCCAGGGCTGTGCTTGAAGCAGGTGGTGGTGGCACTGGGAGAGGGGCTACAGAGAATTTTGAGGTAGCTGTAGCCTACTCCATAGTCCCCCTCCCAGCGCTGCTGCCATCCACCCCAAGCACAGCCCTGGCACAACCCTCTGCTGAGAAAAGCCTGGCACCACCACTGGGCCCAGCCCCCAGCAGCAGCCCACCCTCCCCCCACACACAGATCTGGGGGGCATATGTCTCCCAGTGCCTCCCCCGGAGGTGTGCACAGAAGTGGGAGTCACACAACCCCTGCACCCCCAGACGAGCCACTGCTCCTTCTCACGCTTCACTTAGGGTTGCCAAGCCTCCAGGATTGCCTTGGAGTCTCCAAGAATTAGATACAAATCTCCAGGAGACTGCTGAGAGTCATCCTGGAGATAAATGATAGGAAATTAATTAAAATAAATATTAAATGTTGAATCTGGTTTTATACAGTAGTCAAGTGGGTTTTTAAAATGTAATAACGCGCATTTGCTTTCCTGGCATAAAGTCTACACACTGTCATAACTGATACGCAAGCACGTGGGCACGCAGGGAAAACAAGCAATTAAGGACTGCAATTCTTACTTAGATTGCTTAAAACTTAGTTGTTCAGTCTTTGCTAAAAAAAAAAAAAAATTCTTTAATGAAATTTCGAACAATTTTTAGAATCTTAATTTTGTGGAAAATATAAAAAAGAATTTGTTTTCATTGTATTTTGGAATAAATGCATGTCAAAACCTCAAAATCTCTCCAAAACAAATTCAAAGTTCCAAGCAGCTTTAGTTAACATCCCTAATCTTGAAATGTTTTACGGTGAAGAAAGACAGTTAAACTAAGTGATCTTGAGATTTCATCTGGCCTGGGACAGAGGTCGCATTTCAGCAGCAGCTAGTTTGGAAGCGATTGTGACAGCAACCAATTTTACAAGTGGCAGCCAACCTTCAGACCAAGTTGAGCTAATTTGAGCCACCACTGCAAAAAGGTTACTGGTCCCTGAACTTATCTCTTTATATAGCTTAAACAGGTTTTGAATCAAGAAGGCTGCACTTCCTTTTCTACTTCATAACTATGGGAATTTACAAGAATTCTTGAATTCTACAGAATCTCAACTTGTACATAAACAAGGAGTCCTAGTCATCCCCAACAGTGTCTTCCAAAAATGATTCTTAAGTAACCCAATTCTCCCCACCCCAAGAGTAATCCCACTTTTCCCCCTCACTTCCAACCATAGTGTTTTCTGAAAAGTGGAGATGTGAACACAGAAAGGAACTTCAAACACTAGGCTGGTCCAGGTTGGATTCTACAGCTATTTGAGAGACTCTCTCCAACAGTAGGAATGAAATGAGATTTGCCATTGCAGGCAAAAAAGAGGGTTACTGAGACGTTAAAAAGAAGAGCTCTCTTGGGAAACCTTTTTTCTAAGAGGAGATAAAACAATATTGTTGGGAAAATAAGGCATGTAGGAAAGGACCTATTTATCCAGACAGTATCTCCAGGATGAAGAGATTCTAAGTGAAGAAATGGGGAAACTATGGAGAAAACCTAGCCATCTCCCACTTAATTGTATCATATTGTGAATCATTATTCATCCTCCTTTGTGTGTGTGGACCCAAAGAAACTGACTTGTGTCATCTGGAGACTGCAGTATTTTGTCACCAATTCAGTGCTACTGCTACTCCTGCCCCAATTCAGGTCTGGTTGCAACGGTTCCATAGCAAAGGAAAGACCAGCTTGTCAGAATGCCCCCACTGTTGAAGTTTGCAAAGGAGAGGCAAAGGCAAGCTATATTCGGTCTTGTATTTTGTTCTTAATATTAATTTTGCCTGTTCAAAATTAAAGGGCGTTACCTCTAAAGCCTCAAAACTTACAAACAAAACAGCTTTTGTACGTTTCATCTCAAGGTTTTCTAGCACTCTTGAAATACTCAATTGTATCTTACACACAAATCAATTCACACCCCCCAGAAATTCAGCCAAACCCTGGTATAAAGCATGAAAATGGCAAACAGCACAAAGCAACACGGCAAAACAATTTAGCACAAATATACAAGGTCTAGTCAAACTGCTTAAGAAGAAAGTGAACTTTCTATTAGATATCAAATTTAATAACCTAAACTAGGTTTTTTTTTTACAAGTGGCAGGGAATCTTTACTGAATCCAAACTATCAGATCTTTTGCTTTAAGTTCCATCTCAATGGATATTTCCAGATAAACAGTGCCCACAATACCATTCTTGGACTTGTGCTTATTACTAGCTAAAAAGGATAAGTGTCATCAGTAAATCATGACCCCTTCCTGTAACACCCAATGGTCCCTAGAACACTCCCATCCAGCTTGGCTCCATTCAGTTTACAAGATCTGGCAGGGTTCCTAATAAGGTTGGATATTTAAATATGCAATTAAAAACAACTACAATCATAGAAAATTAGGGTTGGAAAGGACCTCAGGAGGTCATCTAATCTAGCCCCCTGCTCAAAGTAGGACCAGCCCCAACTAGAACTAGGACCAGCCCCAACAGAGAACTAGGGCTCTGTCTAGCTGGGTCTTAACTTCCAAGGATAGAGATTGCACAACATCTCTGGGTAACCTATTTCAGTGTTTTACTACCCTCCTAGGAAGAACGTTTTTTCCTAATATCTAACCTAAACTTCCCTTTCCGCAACTTGAGACCATTGCTCCTTGTTCTGTTATCTGCTACCACTGAGAACAGTCTAGCTCAATCCTCTTTGGAATAACCTTTCAGGTAGTTGAAGGCTATTAAATCCCCTTCACAGTCTCTCTCCTCCAGACTAAATAAGCCCCGTTCCCATCAGCTTCTCCTCATAAAGTCACCCCTGCCCCCTAATCATTTTCTCTGCCCTCCACTGGACTCTCTCCAATTTGTCTACTGTGTCTTGATAGCTATTTAAAGGAACACCATCAACTTCAAAACTGAACTGATATTTGAAAAGTTTAAATTTACTAGTATTACAAGCAACACCTAAGATTACCAGAAAATAATTTGTATTTGTTTACTTTGTCAGGATTTTGTCTATAATTAAACTGTGTTGAGTGTCACTTGAATTTCCTGTCTATCCGACTAGGGACTAGCAGGATGTAGTCACTCATGCACTATTCTGGGTGGACGTATGTTTTTCTTTTGGTCCTACAGCAAAGTATTTAACAGTTACATCAACAGCAACACTGAAAATGAAACCTAACAACCAGCAGTCACAATTCTGTACACAGAAGGAAGGTGGGATGGGTGCAAGTATGTTTGAGTAGTATGAGGAACGTGACCTGCAAATAAGTTTGCGAAAGGCAAATTACAAGCACCGCTCCTTTA